GGTGGAATTCATTGCCAAACCCTTAGAAACAGGGTGTGACACACACACACACTGGAAGAGCGAAAGCATCCAAGTGCAAAGTATGCAAGCGTCAAAGGATGCAAGTCTAATGATGAGCGTGCAAGCGTGCAATGAGTATGCAAGTGTGGTGAGTGGAGAACTAGCACGGGAGATGTCCTAATGAAAAACATTTCCCCACTTTATAAATTCTCTCTTAAAGGCGGAGGGTGGGACGAACAGCGTCAACCGAAAATGCAACCCTCTGCGGAGATCGTGCGTGTCGAGCGCGCGAAATGCAGGCGAGAGTGCGATTTGCCGGCTGCGCGCGCAACCCTCTGCGGAGATCGCGCGTGTCGAGTGCGCGAAATGCAGGCGAGAGCGCGATTTGCCCGGCGCGCGCGCAACCCTCTGCGGAGATCGTGCGTGTCGAGTGCGCGAAATGCAGGCGAGAGTGCGATTTGCCGGCTGCGCGCGCAACCCTCTGCGGAGATCGCGCGCGTCGAGCGCGCGAAATGCAGGCGAGAGCGCGATTCGGCCGGTGTGCGCGCAACCCTCTGCGGAGATCGTGCGCGTCGAGTGCGCGAAATGCAGGCGAGAGTGCGATTTGTCCGGTGCGCGCGCAACCCTTTGCGGAGATCGTGCGTGTCGAGTGCGCGAAATGCAGGCGAGAGTGCGATTTACCCGGCGCGTGCGCAACCCTCTGCGGAGACTGCGCGTGTCGCGCGTGCGAAATGCAGGCGAGAGTGCGATTGAGTCTGTGCGCGCGCAACCCTCTGCGGAGATCGGGCGTGTCGGGCGCGAAATGCAGGCGACTTTGTAGTAGAACTGTAGCACGCGGACTTTCTAGTACAACTTTAGTATATGGAGTAGCCGGGGAGCTGGAAGATGAGAACTGGCGACTTGGTAGTACAACGTTAGTACGCGGAGTAGCTGGGGAGTGGGAAGATGAGAACTGGCGACTTTGTAGTACAACTTTAGTACGCGGAGTATCTGGCGAGTTGGAAGATGAGAACTGGTGACTTTGTAGTACAACTTTAGTACGCGGACTAGCTGGGGAGCTGGAAGATGAGAACTGGTGACTTTGTAGTACAACT